AACAGGTTACAGCAGAATAAAGTCACTCCAGAAGAACACAGACATGATAGGAAATTTGTCTGTGTGCATGTTAGTAAGAGAGAAGAGAGAGGTGAGAGAGCCTCACAGACGTAAGACAAGTTCCGAGAACACTTCTACCCTCACATACTTGTCTGTGACCAGGCTTCCTCTTGACTGTCACAGATTACATTCCTTACAGATACTATTTCTTACAGACATACCTGGAGAAGGTTTCAGGGGTCAACGCCCCCGCGGTCCGGTCTGTGACCAGGCCTCGTACATACTACGGTAAGCTCCCAACAGCATTAACAAATTTGTATGTACGTATCAATGCGTGTGCATGCATGTGTGTGCACTCGTCTATTTGTGGTTGCAGGGGTCGATTCATAGTTCCTGGCCCCGCCTCTTCACTGATCGTTACTAGGTCCTCTCTCTCCCTGCTCCATGAACTTTATCAAACCTCGTCTTAAAACTATGTATGGGTCCTGCCTCCACTACGTCACTTTCTAGGTTATACCGCTTCCTGACAACTCTATGACTGAAGAAATACTTCCTAACTTCCCTTGGACTCATCTGAGTCTTCAACTTCCAATTGTGACCCCTTGTTTCTGTGTCCCATCTCTGGAACATCCTGTCTTTGTCCACCTTGTTAATTCTTCGCAGTATTTTATATGTAGATATCATGTCTCCCCTATTTCTCCTGTCCCCCCAGTGTCGTCAGGCCGATTTCCCTCAACGTTTCTTCGTACGACATCCCCTTAGCTCTGGAACTAGTCTTGTTGCAAACCTTTGCACCTTCTCTAATTTCTTGACGTGCTTGACCAGGTGTGGGTTCCAAACTGGTGCTGCATACTCCAGTATGGGCCTGACGTACACAGTGTACAGAATCTTGAACGATTCCTTACTGAGGTATCGGAACGCTATTCTTAAGTCTGCCAGGCGCCCAGATGCAGCTGCTGCTGCTGCTGCGTGCGTGTGTGTGTGTGTGTGTGTGTGTGTGTGTGTGTGTGTGTGTGTGTGTGTGTGTGTGTGTGTGTGAATATATATATAATATATATATATATATATATATATATATATATATATATATATATGCAAAACAACCACTCGGAAAGAAATTCCAAGCGCTTTCGTGACTACTCACATTATCAGAGTGGTTGTTTTGCATATTTTGAAATCACCTGTTTACTGTGATCTTATTGCATAATATATATATATATATATATATATATATATATATATATATTATATATATATATAATATATATATATATATATATATATATATATATATATATATATATATATATATATATATATATATATATATATATTGTTATTCAGGCACTGATTTAAGGCCACTACAACATCAATGTTCACACTGCAAGTTGCTCCATCAATGTACTTACGTTCGTTCATGTTATCTTAGTCTATTATAGATCTACTCGGGCTAACTAACTATTACACTGTTTCATTGTCTACTTCTCTCGTAATATTTTTTCCTAATGCTAGACACAGATATCAACTTTATCATGGAGGAGTAATCCAGTGTGTGATGGAATCCATAACAATTGTGCATTACACAAATAACCCGAACATAGAAGAGAGGAGCTTACGACGACGTTTCGGTCCGACTTGGACCACTTACAAAGTCACAAAGTGTGACTTTGTAAATGGTCCAAGTCGGACCGAAACGTCGTGGTAAGCTTCTCTCTTCTATGTTCGGGTTACTTGTATATCGTTCCAGTCACGGTATTGTGCCTTTTTTTTTTGTTATTAATTGTGCATTAATTCCTTTTACCCCGGATTTCTGAGTATTTCAGAAACTCCAGATTTAGCTCATTTATCATTTTCACTTATACACAGATTTAGCTCATTTGCTTTCAATTCCGTAATTCTTTCCGTTCTTGAGAAAGTGCAGAACTTTTAACAAGTACCACGAGTCTTCGTCTTCCTCGCCTCTAAAATCGATGACCAACGACGTGTCCAATACTCTAGTATCAATTTTCAAAATATTTAAAAAATGAAGACACCACAGTGTTGCATATGTCTTATTCATCTATTGGTGGAAATACAGCACCAGATGAGCCTGGCCCATGGCCGGGCTCCGAGAGTATTAAGACTCTCGAGACCCATCAAAGGTATACATAATACAATGATCTGTAGAACCTATATTTTTTGGGTGGCATCTTAATGAAGCAAAGTCTGTATACCTTTCATGACTTCCCAGTTTTTTCTACTCCCAGAGCCCGGCCTTGGTCCAGGCTCGTCTGGTCAATCAGTGCCAGACAAGCACATGAATGGGGGGAAAGTGTGTTTGAGATACTGACAGGAAATGTGTGCTTCACCGAACACCGAATACGTGAGTGCCATACCTATGCGGGAGACTGCGCTATTAATATTGACTTATACAAGAGACGCACCTTGGCCCCCGAGGAACATCAATCACTACCTGGCAGCCATATCAATCTGGGAAAAGCATTGACAGGTTACGTTTGCGCCTGAGAAAACGCAAATATTGGGAGAGGGAGAGATGGAGGAAGCGAGGGAAGGAGGGAAGGGGGGAAGGAGAGGGGAGGGAGAGAGAGAGAGAGAGAGAGAGAGAGAGAGAGAGAGAGAGAGAGAGGAGAGAGAGAGAGAGAGGAGGAGAGAGAGAGAGAGAGAGAGAGAGAGAGAGAGAGAGAGAGAGAGAGAGAGAGAGAGAGGGGAGAGAGGGAGAGAGAGAGAGAGAGAGAGAGAGAGAGGAGAGAGAGAGAGAGAGAGAGAGAGAGGAGAGAGAGAGAGAGAGAGAGGAGAGAGAGAGAGAGAGGAGAGGAGAGAGAGAGGAGGAGAGAGAGAGAGAGAGAGAGAGAGAGAGAGAGAGAGAGAGAGAGAGAGAGAGAGAGAGAGAGGAGAGAGAGAGAGAGAGAGGAGAGAGAGAGAGAGAGAGGAGAAGAGGAGAAGAGAGAGAGGAGAGAGAGAAGAGAGGGAGGAGAGAGAGAGAGAGAGAGAGAGAGAGAGAGAGAGAGAGAGAGAGAGAGAGAGAAATTACAGATTGTGTCAGTAATAATGTAACCTCGAGACAAGTCCTCCCTCGTCCCAGTAGACGAAACTCAACCAAAAGGTTACAGCTTGTATCCCGGTCCACCAACACGTAAATTATCAGTATTGTCCAGGTAGTCAACGTAAACCTTCAGAAGTAAATGTAAATTCTTTGTAAACTAGCCATGGCACAAAAAGGTTTACAATTTACAGAAGAAAAACGTCAAAGAGCATATTCTGTAAGCCAGTGGAAGGCCTCGGTAAGATGGTCAAAAACTCCAGCTGCGGGTCATCGTATGATTAAGAACCGCGTCAGGAAACACCTGTCCTGTTCCCTGACAAATCTTACCTAACCTAACTATGCCACACACTGCTACCATTATTATTACTGTGATAAATTTAGACAGATTTTTTCTTTTACCTGCCGGGCCGGGCCGCGAGGGCGATGACCCCCTCCGAACACCGGCAGGTAGCAGTGCTATCGAACCCATTCCAGGAAACTTGGAAGAGGTGTTATGAGCAATGATCATGGACACTGATCATGGGCACTGATCATTAGCACTAATCATGGGCACTGATCATTAGCACTGATCATGGGCACTGATCATTAGCACTAATCATGGGCACTGCTCACTAGCACAGATCATTAGCACAGATCATTAGCACTGACCATGGGCATTGATCATGATCACTGATCATGGTCATTGATCATGGGTCACCTGTACATCTCAAGAGCTGTACAACACTAACCCGGTACAGTGAACCAGTCCAGCAATTTTTTGCAATACGTGTACATGCACGTTGACACTACCGCCATCACACCAGACAGATACAAGGACTGAACGTAAACACACACACACACCTAGTCAAGCACGTCAAGAAATTAGAGAAAGTGCAACGGTTTGCAACAAGGCTAGTCCCAGAGCTACGGGGATTGTCCTACGAAGAAAGGTTGAGGGAAATCGGCCTGACGACACTGGAGGACAGGAGGGTCAGGGGAGACATGATAACGACATATAAAATACTGCGCGGAATAGACAAGGTGGACAAAGACGGGATGTTCCAGAGATGGGACACAGACACAAGAGGTCACAATTGGAAGTTGAAGACTCAGATGAATCAAAGGGATGTTAGGAAGTATTTCTTTAGTCATAGAGTAGTCAAGCCGTGGAATAGCCTAGAAAGTGACGTAGTGGAGGCGGGAACCATACATAGTTTTAAGGCGAGGTATGATAGAGCTCATGGGGCAGGGAGAGAGAGGACCTAGTAGCAATCAGCGAAGAGGCGGGGCCAGGAGCTGTGAATCGACCCCTGCAACCACAAATAGGTGAGTACAAATAGGCGAGTACACACACATACACGCTCGCGCGGTGCCTGGTGGCTAAAACTCTCGCTGCACACGGCGAGGGTTTGTGTTCGATTCCCAGCGCGGGTAGAAACATTGGGCTGGTTTGTTTACACCGGTTGTCTATGTTCGGTAAAATGGGTACCTGGGTGTTAGTGGACTGGTGTGGGTCGCATCCTGGTACAAAACTGATCTAATTTGCGGGAAATGCTCTGCATAACAAGAGGCTTTCTATATAGTAGTATGTTATAGATGTCAGCTAGGACTGTATAATTTGTACATGTACTTGTAGAAATAAAGATATTATTCTCTCTCTCTCTCTCTCACACACACACACACACATACACACACACACACACACACACATACACACATACACACACATACACACACACATACACACATACACCACACATACACACACACATACACACACACACACACATACACACACACACACACACACATACACACACACACATACACACACACACATACACACACACACACACACATACACACACATACACTAAAACACACACACACACACGTACTCATATACAACAGGCCTAGTGTCTAATCGACATGTGCCTAGGACAAAATGGTAACTAACACACATACACACGCTACTCACCAGGTGTTGGGCATCAGCAGTATGGGTACACAGCTCCCAGCTACCCCATGGCTGTGCTGCAAAAAAACAAACCGATAATTAAACCAATGGAAACTTCAGGGTTAAAACACCCACACTAAGAAATATACAAGTAAAAAATCAAAAGATACCTGTAAACCAATGAAAGATACTTGTAAACCAATAAAAAATATTGTTAAACCAGTAAAAGATACTTGTAAACCTATAAAAATACTTTTAAACTAATAAGATACTCGTAAACCAATAAAATATATTTATAAACCAATAAAAAATACTTTTGTAGATTAATAAAACACATTCATAAAAAAACAAGAATTTACCAGCCCAGAATTTAAATGTTTAGAATTGACCTGTGTCCATTTAACAGGCTAGAATTTAAATGTCCAGAATTTGCCTGTGTGCTTTTACAAGCCTAGAATTTATATGTTTTTATACCAGCCCAGAATTCATGTTTTTTTTCCAGACCAGAATTTAAATATACAGAATTTTCCTATATGCTTTTACCAGCTCAGAATCAGTGTGTGGTTTTTACCAGCCCAGAATTTGTGTTTGGCTTTTACCAGCCCAGAATTTATGTGTTTGGATTTTACCAGCCCAGAATTTATGTGTTTTGATTTTACCAGCCCAGAATTTATGTGTTTATATTTTACCAGCCCAGAATTTATGTGTTTGGATTTATCCAGCCCAGAATTTGTGTGTTTGGATTTTACCAGCCCAGAATTTGTGTGTTTGGATTTTACCAGCCCAGAATTTGTGTGTTTGGATTTTACCAGCCCAGAATTTGTGTGTTTGGATTTTACCAGCCCAGAATTTATGTGTTTGCTTTTTACCAGCCTAGAATTCGTGTGTTTGGATCTTACCAGCCCAGAATTTATGTGTTTATATTTTACCAGCCCAGAATTTATTTGCTTATATTTTACCAGCCCAGAATTTATTTGTTTATATTTTACCAGGCCAGAATTTGCTCTAGAACAGAGCAAAAATGTAACCATTCTCACGTGCATGTTCCCTTCCAGCAAAAATTTACAGTGAATAAACGTACAACATAATAAGATTCAACTGTACCATTCTCCGATACAGTATTACACGATCTGCTCATTACAGCTAATTGTAAGATACATTATCAGTGTTATGGCGCTCGATATATGCAAAAACAATCTAAAACTATTATTAAACAAAATTATCTATGCATTTTTTGGGAAAAAATCCTTCAGAAAACATGTGGAAATTTGATTTCTGGGGATTATGTGCAAGGAGTAGATGGACTGTCATGTTACTGTATGTAAGGAGTAGATGGACTGTCATGTTACTGTATGTAAGGAGTAGATGGACTGTCATGTTACTGTATGTAAGGAGTAGATGGACTGTCATGTTACTGTATGTAAGGAGTAGATGGACTGTCATGTTACTGTATGTAAGGAGTAGATGGACTGTCATGTTACTGTATGTAAGGAGTAGATGGACTGTCATGTTACTGTATGTAAGGAGTAGATGGACTGTCATGTTACTGTATGTAAGGAGTAGATGAACTGTCATGTTACTGTATGTAAGGAGTAGATGGACTGTCATGTTACTGTATGTAAGGAGTAGATGGACTGTCATGTTCATTATTCATTGTTGTCATGTTTATGATTCACTACTGTCAGGTCCATCATTCACTGTCATATTCATCATCCATTAGTGGCGATGAGTAAGAAAATCCAAAGCAGAGAGATGCAGAGCTGATGATTCTTGTCTTGCAAGACACTTGTGGTCTCTAGACTGCGGTATTGTTGTACCTAGTAGTTTATATTTCCTATGTGTTTATATTTCCACCTAGTAGGGTCATTGAAGCTAAAACCTTGGGTAGCTTCAAACATAGGTCAGATAAATACACGAGTCCTAGGTAGTAGGTTGGCAGAGAGCAACCACCTAGGGAGGTACTACCATCCTATGCTAGTATGCTGGTAGACAGCAGCCACCCAGGGAGGTACTACCGTCCTGTGGTAGAAGGTTGGTAGACAACAACCACCCAGGGAGGTACTACCGTCCTGTGGTAGTAAGTTTATAGACAGCAACCACCCAGGGAGGTACTACCGTCCTGTGGTAATAGGTTGATAGACAACAACCACCCAGGGAGGTACTACCGTCCTGTGGTAGTAGGTTGATAGACAACAACCACCCAGGGAGGTTCTACCGTCCTGTGGTAGTAAGTTTATAGACAGCAACCACCCAGGGAGGTACTACCGTCCTGTGGTAATAGGTTGATAGACAACAACCACCCAGGGAGGTACTACCGTCCTGTGGTAGTAAGTTTATAGACAGCAACCACCCAGGGAGGTACTACCGTCCTGCCAAGCGAGTGTAAAACGGAAACCTGTAATTATTTTACATGATGGTAGGATTGCTAGTGTTTTTTTTTTGTCTCAAACACGCGGGATAACAGGTATATCTTGCTACCTGGAGCCTGCCTGCACATGCACTACACGTGCAAGTACAGGCAGGCCCCACTTATACAGCAGGTTAGGTTCCGCGATACTGCTGTAAAGTGAAACAAGTTTTTTTTATCATTTTCAAATACATATTGAGTGACAGAGCTAGGCCTGAAAAAATGCATATACAATACGTATTATTTACCTTAAAATATTTTAATCCTTAGCTAAGAGTGGTGAATATATTTAATGTAGGAAGTCTAAATAAATGAAGAATGGGTATATTAAAAACTGCTGCATTAGCGAAACGCTGTAAAGCGGGGCCCACCCGTACACACACACAGTATATATGCATATATATATAAACTGTCTCTACGTCCACAGCAGGACTCGAACAGAGTTAGCGGGTTCGAGTCCTGCTGTGGACGTAGAGACAATGTTTGTAAATAATTTCGCCTGTTTGCGAGTTGTTAAGCATGCATATATATATATGTATATGTGTATTTTTCATGGGGAAGTGGAACAGAATTCTTCCTCTAAGTCGTGCGTGTCGTAAGAGGCGACTAAAATGCCGAACAAGGGGCTAGTAACCCCTTCTGTATAAATTACTAATTTTAAAAAGAAAAACTTTCGTTTTTCTTTTTTGGGTCACCTGCCTCGGTGGGATACTGCCGGCTTGTTAATATATATATATATATATATATATATATATATATATATATATATATATATATATATATATATATACGAGCGAGATGCGATTGGATTCGAGTGGGACTTACACTTACACTTGAATTAATAGGGTTACCAAAGTTTATTCCTTGGGTAACACTGATAATGGGTAGGGTGAGCATTTTTTAGGGGGTTTGGGTTTGACAAAACCTGTCTAATAGGACCGGTAGATGTGCTGCAGTGTTCCTCCTTTCTTATGTTCTTATGATTTAATTAAGGTTGGAAATTATCATGGCTGAGGGACTGACCACCATAAAATTACTACTGTTTCAAGGCTGAGGGGACTGACCATATATTTACCTCTCCACTGCGTCTGCCATCTTCATATTTAGCCACCTCTGTATTCGAACCGCGGCAAAGCGTTGGACCTGTTGGGACCACAGTCTCCTGTCCACCTTTCTATTCACAAGCATCTAAATTAATGAGGTGCAAACAAGGACACGATGGGAAAACTAACCGCAATGGTCCCAGAGTTGTGTTTTCAACACCCTTCCCCCAGCCCATCGAGCACCTTACACTATGAGAACTCAATGTATACACAAATAACCCGCACATTGGAGAGAGGAGCTTACGACTTGACTTTGTAAATGGTCCAAGTCTGACCCAAACGTCGTGGATCTCCTCTCTCCTATGTGCGGGTTATTTGTGTATTGTTCCAGTCACGGTTACCTGGAGGTTATTCCGGGGATCAACGCCCCCGCGGCCCGGTCCATGACCAGGCCTCCCGATGGATCAGGGCCTGATCAACTAGGCTGTTACTGCTGGCAGCACGCAGTCCAACGTACGAGCCACAGCCCGGCTGACCCGGCACTGACTTTAGGTATCTGTCCAGCTCTCTCTTGAAGGCAGCCAGGGGCTTATTGGCAATTCCCCTAATGCTTGATGGGAGGCTGTTGAACAGTTTTGGGCCCCGGACACTTATGGTGTTTTCCCTTAGTGTACCAATGGCGCCCCTACTTTTTATTGGGGGCATTTTGCATCGCCTGCCCAGTCTTTTACTTTCGTAGGGAGTGATTTCTGTGTGCAGATTTGGGACCATTCCTTCCAAGATTTTCAAAGTGTAGATTATGATATATCTCTCCCTCCTGCGTTCCAACGAGTACAAGTCAAGTGCTTCCAAGCGTTCCCAGTAGTTAAGGTGCTTGACAGAACTTATACGTGCAGTAAAGGATCTCTGTACACTCTCTAGATCTGCGATTTCACCTGCTTTGAATGGAGATGTTAATGTACAGCAGTATTCCAGCCTAGAGAGAACAAGTGATTTGAAAAGGATCATCATGGGCTTGGCATCTCTCGTTTTGAAAGTTCTCATTATCCATCCTATCATTTTCTTTGCACGTGCGATCGTGGCACTGTTGTGATCCTTGAAAGTGAGATCCTCAGACATTACTACTCCCAGGTCCCTTACATTATTTTTCTGCTCTATTGTATGGCCGGAGTCAGTAGTATACTCTGTTCTAGTTATTATCTCCTCCAGTTTTCCATAACGGAGTAGTTGGAATTTGTCCTCATTGAGCATCATATTGTTTACCGTTGCCCACTGGAAAACCTCGCACACAAAATCTCCTTTACCCCCTCCCTCCAACCTTTCCTAGGCCGACTCCTACCCCACCTTCCCTCCACTACAGATTTATACACTCTCCAAGTCATTCTATTTCGTTCCATCCTCTCTACATGTCCGAACCACCTCAACAACCCCTCCTCAACCCTCTGGATAATAGTTTTGGTAATCCTACACCTCCTCCTAATCTCCAAACTACGGATTCTCTGCATTAAATTCACACCACACATTGCCCTCAGACGTGGCATCTCCACTGCCTCCAGCCTTCTCCTTGTTGCAACATCCACCACCCATGCTTCACACCCATATAAGAGTGTTAGTATAACTATACTCT